GTATATCTACACAGTGGAATATTATTCAGCACAAGAAAGAAACGAGCTATCAAGCCATGAAAAGACATGGAGGAACCATTTAAATGAAAGAAGCCAATGTGAAAAAGCTACATACTGTAAGATTCCAGCTATATGACATTCTAGAAAGGGCAAAACAGTGGAGACAGTGAAAGGATCAGTGGTTGCCAGGGGTTAGTAGGAAGGGAGGCATGAATAGGTGGAGCATGGAGAATTTTTAGGGCAGTGAAACCATTCAGTACAATACTACAATTATAGATACATGTCATTATACATCAGTCAAAACCCATAAAATGTACAACACCAAGAGTGAATCCTGGGGAGGGGCAGTATAGCTTAGTGGCAGGGCACATGCTTAACATGCACAAGGTCCTGGGTTTACCTCCCTTAAAAAATTTTTTAAAAATAAAGAAGAGTGAATCCTGATGTAAACTATGGACTTTGGGTCACAATGATGTGTCTGCGTAGGTTCATCAATTGTAACACATGGACCACTTTGGAGCAGGCTGTCAATATTGGGGAGGTGGTACATGTAGGGGAAGTGGGTACATGGAAACTCTGCACTATGTGCTCAAGTTGATGTAAACCTAAAACTGCTCTAAAAATAAAGTTCATTCATTTACTGTTTAAAACATTCAGGGTTGTATCTGTCAGTGGGAGAAGAGGGTGATACAAGTTGAGGAAGAGTTGCATTCTACAATGATGGCATTGCTTTATTTTTAACTTCAGGGTAGGTACATGCATGGCTATTATGTTACTGTTCTTGCAGACCTACACATATATTTTAAGCACTACTTTGTATATGATATTTTAACAATTAAAATTGAGGAAAGGCCCTTCCGTATTCCTAATTTTAAATAAAATTTCCCATGTTTACTATGAGTGTCGTGTGAGTATATTAGAGCCAGGATTTCTTTCTCTTCTTAGAAAGAAAGGCTTCCTTACTGATCAAGTTCAAATCTCTCTCAGTTAGTTCAAACCACTGGGATAATCTAATCATAGCACTTTTACAGATGGTGAAGCTGAGTATTGTGGATGAAGATGTTGCTCCATAAATGTCCAGTTTACTAATGACCATCTCAGGAATTCCTGAACTGGAGTACAAAAGATCAACCACCATGTCGCACAGTAGGCTTCACTCTGGGGTGCAATTCACATAGTGCTATTCATGCAGTCAGGCAGATTCTAGTCTCTGCTATGATCATGGACCTGTTTAAATCCTTCCCTTGACCTATCCACCTTTACCACTTCCCTTGTGCTGAAGACATTGCCCACAAAATCACTATTCCAAGAACATCTGCCTCAGATTCAGCTTCTATAGACCCTAACCAAATGCTTATCTTAGAGAACAGAAATCTTGTATTAAACATCAAAGAGCTAAAAAAAAATCAAGTCAGGTTTTAACCCTAAGTTAAAATGCACTTAGCCATTGTGTTATCTATTCATTTAAGTAGAAATTGTGATGGATGGGTCAGGCACTTTAGCTCATTAGTTTCCTTTAACTTTGATTTATTCTAGTGAAACTCATCCCAAAACTGATGATATAATCACAGAGAAGAGGGTACCCTCCCAATGAGTCTCCTCAAAGCTCCCTTCATGTCTCTGTTCCTCAGGCTGTAGATGAAGGGGTTCATCATGGGAGTGACCACCGTGTACATCAGTGAAGCCACTGCAGTCTTCCTGGAAGAGTCAGTAACTGCAGAACTGATGTACACCCCAAAAGCTGTCCC